CCCCAAAACCCCAAAACCCCAAAACCCCATGGAATATTTATAGTTCTAAAGATTTAAATTAAATAGATATCAATAAGTATTAATCTCAATTGCACTTTAATAATTTAATCAACTTGAAAATATATGTCATTTACCAAGGTTTCCTAAGAGATGTCATCGACTAGAGATTCAATATTCTTCCAAATAGATCAAATATCCAAGCAAGATAACGATTTTAACTCAAATTAAATGAGTATACTTAAAACACTCATCTAGACCAACTCGGAAAATATTTCTTTGTCAGATCTAAATATTATAAAGGAAAAATTCATCACAAAATATGTAGCAAATCTCAAAGGATAATCTTCCACAAAAGCTGCTACTGATTTGAGTTTTATACTATAGCTTATAGATAATTCCTATGATTAGAATAAGATTGAGTCTAAGATTACATTTTTCGAAGATTATAGCTTTATTAATCATCAATCAATGAGCGATTCTGAGAAATATTATTCTTAAAAACCAAGGTGGATAAAATGGCTTACAACTTTTATATACTTAGCTAACGTAGCAGTTGCAGGATATATATGTGTGCTTTCACTTTTCGCATAAGAATTGTCTCAAAAGTATGTATTTGATAATGCTGGGCAGCCTGGAGAAACAATGTATATTACTGGATGTCATTGGACTGCAATAACAATAATATCTATTTTTGGACTGGTATTTTCAAGAGTCAATTTCTCCATTGTATTCCTTCATCAGTTTATCTACAAAGGTCTCTACTTAATTGTCTCAGTCATACCCTCTTTAATCAATAAAGAGTATGAAGAAATTCCGATTGGTATGTCAATCTTTTTCCTTGTTTGGGAATTCTTGTTGCCTATCGTAATACCTTGGGGATATCTCTTTGGCTTTAACTCTAAGATAGTTAACTAGAAAAATAATCAATGATTCTTTTTCTCTATTTCTAACCATTCTCTAATACACGTAATTCAAATTCATTAATTCCAATAGCTCTTCCAAGATTTTAATTTAATATTTATTATCAAAAGTATGATAATTGGCCTAACGGGGTTTTGGGGTTTTGGGGTTTTGGGG